CCGAAGGGAGAATGGTTCGCTCCACGCATATCTTGGATCGCCATTCTTTAGGTCTCTCACTGCTGCAGGCCTCTCATTGCACGGCTGTAAGCCACCCGCATCAAAAAGAACTCAGATCTCCATAATGCTAACGTGTAAATCCGGTGGTTTTGAAACTAAATAATATGTCTGAGGCATCACACTCCCCTACGTCACGTATGTCGTTTCGACCGGATAAACACCCGTTCCTCCACGCGTGAAAAATATCACGCTCCATCGCGAGGCATTTCGCAAGCTTCTTTGTCGATTTTTTTTTTTTTTTTTTTTTCAACCAGTGGGTGGTTTGTACTTTACTCGCCCCTGTGATTGCCATGGACACCTCCTTTCCAAGGTGTACCGATTTGTTTCGGCGACTCGCTCTGGCGCTGATCGACGTATGCGTGCATTATCGGCGACGCTTTTCGTTCGTAGTCAATTTTTTTCCACGAATCTATCGATGCTTGCTTGCTACGCGCATGCATTTGAACTCAAAGCAACCACGCCTTCCCCGCCATTTGCTGTGATGAGATGCCTGCGGCTCGCTGCCGCGATACGCCCGTAACGCGCCTACACATGTCAGAAAAAAGAAACTTTTGCGCGCAGGCTTCCTCTCTATAGTACAAATACCCAAACGCCCACTGAATTATAAAAAAAGTTAGGAAAAATTTACTTATTTCTGTATTTATAATACATTTTTGAGGCGCTTCTTTAAATCTGCATGTCCTTAAAGATTCTATCAGATTTCAGCCCATATATATGTGTCTGGTTTACTATACCTATATCTGAGCGGTAGTTATAACTGCGTTCGCGTTTTCGATAGTCACTTTGACGAATTTAATTCAAAGTTCCTCAGAGCTATATCCTGGAACCGCTTTTGTTTATTTTGTTTTTAAATGCTATTGTTAACTGTGTAACCGAAGAAATGTTTCTACTGTCTGCCGAAGGTTTAAGCTATTTTTAGGAGTCAAGTTGGTACATGATCGCTATATCCCCAAGCCGACGTAGAGCGTGTTGAGAAATGGTGCTCGATAAATTGCTTCTCACATAACCCTCAGAAAACTAAATCTATAGGGATTTTTTCTTTCTGGAAAGCGCTCAATAATTTTTTTTAGTAATGCGGGAATCGTATTAATTTCGAAGGTATCTTTTATCAAGGATTTTGGTGTCTATATTGACAGCTAACTTTCGTTTAGTAACACGCATGTTTCTGAAACTTAGCATTAAGAACTTTGGGCGTCATTTCACAACCGCGTCGCCAATTTTCAACATCTTGTTACCTATTGCATATATATAATTTTTGGTTCAATCACGGTTGAAACTTCGCTCCTTCATTTGGATTTTATAGATTATCAAAAGTCATCGCAAAATGAAATCTAGAAAAACGAATGATAAGTAAAAGCTTATGACTGTTTCATAGAAAGAGGTGTTTCTATCATTATAGAATGTTAGAACACCGATTTTCATTGTCTGAATTGGGTGTAAGCAGGCGAGTCAGGCATTCTTTCTATATTTTTACGCAAATTTATTCATGGCAAAGTGATATCAACAAATTTGTTAATTTTTATGGTCGTAGATCTTCATGTCCTGTTTCGGGTCAGCCTGAGCGCCTTATATTCTTATCACATATGTATGCCCTTTATGTCCTCCTTAACAATAGTTCAGAATGGCAATAAAAATGTACAAAGACCACTTTGATGTATTAACCTATTTAATATTCAAACGCGTAAACGTATGTTGCCTTTCTGATTGTGCTAAGCAATATCTTGTGTCTGTTTTAGTTCTGTTTCTAACGTTTGAGTTTTCTTACTGGATTTTGTGTTTGATGTCAGTGTAGTGCGCCGATATGGTTGTTTGTGGGCACAACCAAAATAAAGAATTGTTATTATTATTATTGCTATTATTCTATCTCCTTGTCCCTCTGAATGGATAATATATATATATATTATTAATTATGATCAGTAAATATTTCTTACTGCGATCTCTTAGATTACAGTATTAATGTATATCAGGCACGTAGCCAGGGGGGAAACACATGGGGCCGGTGCACTGATACAACATTTTGTCATGAGCGCCCCCCCCCCCCCCCCCCCCCCGAACAAAATTCTGGCTACGTGCCTGATGTATACACCAATTATGGCATGCTTTGGCAAAAAATTGTTACAATATTTCGAAATATATTTTATAGGAGTCTCGCAAGCACCCCATGTCAAAATCTGTCCGAATCTTTGTGCCTTCCGCGTTTTTCCTTCGTATTTTTTTAATATATGTTATTGACAAACATATATCTACGATACCTCTCAAAACCCCTCGTGTGATACAACGTTCGTTAAGGGATGGTGAACGCTTTAATGTTCCCTGAGTGCATATAACGCATGGAAAATAATTGTCATCTTGTTATCTACAATAATTATTTGGTTGTTTCCTAAATCCGTTGTAGATAAATTCATAACGTCACCCAAAACGACTATTAAGAAATTATGTGCTAAACGTTTTGTGACTCAATTTTGGAGGTTTTTGTTTTAGTTTTTCTTCGCAACGGTAGTTGTGTTTGTGTGTGTGTGTGTGTTTTGATTTCAACTGCTTCTTTCTGTAAGCTTGCATTCAATACCGGGCAATCCTTTTTGATCTGTAAAGTTTGCTTTTATTCAACTGTTATTCTGGTTATTTCGCAATACTTCCACTGCTTGTTGCTTTACGTGAAGTAAACGAATGAAAAAAAGTTACGATTTTTTGGAATGCGAGCACAACCTTCTTGCGCGATAGTTCGTTTTGCATTTCCTCACCTTCTTATGACTGTTATTATTAGAGACTCCACGTCGATGCTGTTCTTACCGTGCAAATATTTTGTTCTTTTTGTCTTACCAAGAGGTAGGTTTGTCTTTGCATCAAATAAGCAAGTTTGTTCAGTATGCGTTTATTGTGTGGATTTTCTTAAGGCGCTGACGAGAAGTCCCAGGCGCCGCGATTAGCTTTTGACCTACCCGCATCTTCAGTGTATTTATTGATGGGATGCAAGTAATCAAGAATAATAATAATATTCCTTACGACTTTCACGATATATCATTGTCGATTCATTTCGCGCATTGGATATGAATTCGCTCAGAAATTAGTCGGCGCACTTACAACAGGCAAGAAACGCGTGCTCAAAAGGATAAACTCTGCCATAAGCTGCCATTTCTACTATAAAAATATTAAGTAGATTGTGAATATTATAAAACCCGATTCAAATTTGATTTTGAAAATTAACTTGTCAGATGATTCGCTCGTCAGTTTCTTGCTGTAAACGCTTATTTTGATATCCATTTATCACCACCATAGCGCTCCTTAGCACGAAGACGTACTCCTAAGGAAGGAAAAGTAAATTATAAAGCAAGAAGTTAGAACACGCATTTAGAGGTAATATACATTAGTTCGCAATTATTCCGACAATGTATTTACTACATTGCACACAGTTAATATTTTTAGAAGCAATACATCAAATACAAACAGAAGAGTCATGCCCAATGGTATCAGGCATTCCGCTGACCTGTCATCAGGTGAATACGCCACCTGCCGGTGGGTGATAAAAGATACTTGAGGTTAGCTAATCGTCGAGGTCTACAATGAGCCGAAACCTTTTAGATTAACGGCTACCACGTAAAGTTTAAATATAGACTATGCCTTTTTTATGGGTTATCTTTTACGAGATTCTGTACTGTCCGTGGTCGTTAAGCCTCACAAACCAACCTATAATGCTTCATTTAACATAATGGAAAATCGCGCGCAAAAAGACGCTTTTTCATCATGTTCAACGTTTACCAACTCACCCCACCCCAGCATACCACTTTACTAGAGTTTATTGTTTCATTTATATAATTCCTCGTCAATCTTTCATATTTTATTGCGTCCCTGTTTTCTTCTTTTTTATTTTTTTCCTCCGTGTGATTGTTTTAGCTGGTGACATAGTAAACACACAAAGACATAAAGAGTGGTGAGGATGCACTTTTGGTTCCGAATGATTGGTTCCATCGAATCGGGGCGTCAAACGGCAGTGTAGCCAAATGTAGTTCTCTCGAGTTTCTCTTTCCCCTGTTCTATAGTGCATGCGGGATGAGCCAGTATTTAGAAAACAAAGTTGGACACTTGGGGAGAAAAGAGCGACGCTATGGACTGGTCGCTTTTTGTTTCTCCAATTGATGCTATCACCTGCAGGTATCTTTATACTAACCGAATAATGTTCTCGCGACTTTTGGTTATATACGCTATTTGGACCCTTTTCCAACGAACAGACTTGGTGCGAAAATTGGTTACTTTTGGTACATTTGGTACCATTGGTTAACTAAATAAAATACATGGATAACTGGGGCATACTTGTGACAAACTTGTTAAAAATTATCACAGGTATCCTCAGCGCCACTTTCTGGCGGAATAGAACATACTCTGATTGTAAAGATGGAATGTTCTTTGCCAAGATTCGTCTTTCAATGATCGTCAATTGCCTAGTGCTCAAGGAATCCTTAATGCGCACAGAAGCGATTAGCCGTGTTACTGTAAAGCTCTGAGCGAAAAGGCCGATACCAGAATTCTTTGCACGTGTGCATGTCGTGGAGCAAGATTTTATTGCACTGACTACGTCGCCCGAATGCATCACAAGCATGGACACGGAAAGCCTTCGCGATTGGTGTAACTTAAAACCAGGGTGCCTCATTGCTCATCTCGAACTACAGGATGATCTAACGGCCAGACACCTGAGACCATTCGGGCGACACTAAACAGCAGTAGAAACCTTAACGACATCATCGACGCACGTGCTGCCATCACCCGGCACGCGCCGCCTCCTGTTACACCTCGTCTCACCCCGCTCCGAACTAAGCAAAACGGAAAGTTGACAGCCACGCTCCCTGAACACAAGACCGCGCCATTATTTGAAACAATACCAGGCAGAGTATGGGGCGAAGCATGCGAGAATGAATGAAGCCCGACCGAGACCCGGTTCAACTTACATCGTTTCGGTCGAGCGTGCCGAACACGTCGAGCTTGTCCAAGCGCACCGTCCCCTGGAAGGGCAGGAACCGCGTGCCGCGCGAGATGCGACTGTTGCTCCAAACGGCGGCGCTGGCTTCCTTCCTGACGTTTTCCGAAGAGGCCTGGTGCTGCGGAAGCATCGCGGAAGACGTCCCAGACTCTTTTTCACAGAGCACAAGACTAAGCTCCTTGGGGATGAGCACGAACGTTTCCATCGCTTCCAGCGCGTAGTCCCGACGACTCGAAGAAGGAAGGTAAGTGGGCCCCAGGTCCTGCCTCGATGTCCCCAACTAGCACGTCCCACAATTCACGGTAGTGGCACGGACGGGCAGCGTGCCGCGGAGCCGCGTAATCCTCGGTGTCTCATGGCGTTGTTCGTCGACGGAGAGCGGCGAGCAGCACGCAGTCTGCGTGGAGTGAAAGTTTGCGTGTTTCAGCGGTGGAAGACAGGTGGTGGCAACGGTAAGGAACTGCAAGGAGGCCGGTCTTGAGAGGAGGGGTGCACCGGGCGGGACTTGGAGGTCGTTAGGGTGCACGAGCCCACCTTCGTCCGGCCTCCATTGGCTCGGTAACCGGCTCTGGCGGCGAATGGAAGTGGCGGCACAGGTACGCCGTCTCGGACAGTTCCTGCCCCGGCGGGGATTGGCCTCGTCCCAGACGTGGCGCCCGGTGGGGTCCCATTGGGGGAGCCGCTTCTCAGCGCGGTGAGATAAGGACCGCGGGCGAGGAAAAGAGCGGCCGCTTTGTTTCGAGCGGAGCGGATCCTGGCGTGATGCCGGTCAGCCACCACTGCTGGGGCGTCTGGGGCGCTGCTGAAAATTAATTCGTGACTTCCTCTTTTCTATGAAAGAGCGGTACGATAAAAAAAGGGCAGCGATTGTCGTACGCGTGGGTTAGGCCTGCTTCCAGAGTATGATGGACTGTTATGTGTTCATGCCGCTAATGTTTGAAAGACGATAAAACATAACAGGCTGCCAAAATTTAATTACAAACGTTGTGTTGACAAGGAAGTTTGATGATGATCAGTTCTGCTATGTTTATATTTACCACATAAGAACCATTTGTTCTTTAGAGATTGCCACTGCTAAACTCATCTTCAACAAGGCTATTTCCTTTCAAATCGTGCTATGTAAAAGGTTTGCGATTTGAAATCTTTCTAAAACGTTTGTATGCTGGTGTAGTTTTTTTTTTTTATTAGAACAAAACGGCAGACTCAAGACCATATCTACAGCTCATTTTTGGTTCTTAACCCTTAATCTCTGAAACGTCAGAAAAGAGATTTGATATTTGTCGACTGTACCGGTTGGGCGTCCGGATGTTTCGTCATGCACATATATCAATCGCAAAACAAAAATCTTTGTACATGACTTCTAAACTGACCATAGAACCCTAAATCGGCATTAAGATTCGCTTTTATTAATAAATATTTTTTTCTAAAATCCCAAACATAGCCCCTCTAACTGTAATTTGCCTGATTTGTATGGTCATAATTTTCGCTGTGTACAAATTTATGGTATGAATTATACATCCAGTAAAAGCTTGAAAACATGCCTACTAAAAAGCCTACAATATACTTTTCTGACTATCAAAACTATGTTAACAAGATATAACTTTTAGTCGAGTAGAAACCGAGATAAAACTACAAGCTGGAACCTCCATTTTGTTAACAATGTCATCTTCGTTTCTGATTTTCGTTCGGAGACTCTCTGATGTGATCCAAAAATGTGCACCGAAATCTGTATGACATATATCGTTTTGATATATAACCCGTAAATTTGAAAGACGGTATATTTGTAGCTATATTCGAAATAAAAAGTCGGGTACTGTCTCCATTTTTTGTACCTAATTGTAATTATCTGTTGGCACTTTGCCATAATATAAGCTTGCTTCAATATAATACATTGAAACTCATGAGTGCGTTGAATATCCCTTAATGTATATAAGGGTTTTCACTTACGAAACCACACAAATTAAATCACTATTTCATAAAAGAACAATCGTCTCTAAACGATGTCCTATAAGATTTGCTAACTAATAAATATCAAGTTCTAAGAAGATTAAAACATCTCCTTATGGTTCGACAGACACCAAGAACAATCACCCACCATCAATGACCAAATAAGATCATCTCCTGTACGCACAGCACTAGGCAGTTTTGCTAGAGCGTCCCAATAACACGAAAACTCGACAGTCCCGCAGCGGCTTTTTGTATGCACGTTGTTGTTACTGTGGTTATCGGAACATCAAAACGGTCTACTAAAACTCCCTACTATTCGTCTTGAATATTTTGTTTGTTTGCTGCACTGCGTTACAGGGTACTGCCTCTCAAAGCCGCGATTACCTGAATGCGACTTAGTCGCGTCGAATCCACTTGTCGCATTCAATGCGGTAATGTAAATAAAATATTGCGCTAGGGAAGCGCATCGCATTCAAGCCGGCACACAAATGTGGATCGAAACGGCAAATGCGCATTCATTCAGCCGATGTAAACGGAGGTCACATCGCATTGTGGAGCGGGGAGGATTATGGGAAGGCGCTCGCTGATGGAGCGAGTGAAGAGCTGAGAAGATGGCGGCGCTTATCCTCGTCGACGGCGGCGGAGAGTGGTGCCGTATGATCGCCCGTAGTTTTCTTGCGCGAATAAACACGAGCTTCAATTGCCATCATAAGCGTGCGGAATACACATAGCTGAGCTGCTCGGCGAAGGCGGCCCCCGTCCAGGTCTTGCAAAGTACGATTTGCACGCCCGAGGGAGTTCCTTGGGGCTGGCGGAAGCACGAACTACGTCGAGAGCTCCAAGCACTGCACGGCACTGCAGAACGAGCAGCTCCCCTATCAGTGCCGTTCCTGCCTGCGCCGGAGCCTTTCGGCCTCGCAGTCCGGTCGTGGTTTGCGAGGTTTAGCGAGGCGATGCGCGGTGGCGTCCTCAATGCGGTTGTAAACGATATCGCTCGCCGGGGCGTGTGCACGCACGTCGCCGCCGGGCCACATGAGTGGCCCGGCGGCGTGGCCTGGAGCCCAAATCGCTTGGGTTTTGATGCTTCTTTCGTCTCGTAACTTACAGCATCGAAGACAGCGGGCACGACCTTTACGCTGGTCGAGTGCGTCGAAGGGCCTCCAAGTGCGAAACACCGGAGAGAGTGGTCACGTGGAGCGTCTGGTGCCAGAAACCTAGCTTTAACTTTAACCTTTGACACGGCCTGGCGCCACCTTAGCGTAGGGCTTGGTGCGAATTCATGCAAACGTTGCATCGTCGGCTTCATTCGAAGGACGAATGAAGTCGATCCGCTGAAGTAGCGTTTATGTAAACGCGGCTACAGAAATTGTGCGTGTTTTCGACAATCCTCTATTTGTTTATTTTCACCCATGACTTGTTGAGTTTCCAGAATCTGCTAAGTCGCATTCGGTCCCTTCCTTTGAGCGGAAAGCGGAAACAGGAAGGCAAGGTCACTACTCGACAGTACGAATGCATGCCGGCTCCCTTCAAGCTGCTTCCTCCCATTTCGGCCTATTTAGAAAGCAATTGCGGTTGTCAAGAGAGGAGATCACTGCGAAGATTAAAAACGACCCTACGTCCTGTAAACTATGGCTAGTTTACATGGATCCAATCGACCAGTAGTGGCACCTCGTGTCGAAGGATCACAACGGAAACCTCGTGACCTTTCGATTGTTTCCGAGGTTTCCGGTTTGCCTAGCGTCATGCAACGCAACGCTCCCGTGATCCCTCGCTCGAGCACTCGATTCGATCCGGTAGCTTATTCATGAAGAGTCTTACTCTGAAAAAAAGGGTGTAATCGGGTGTATTCTTACACCCTGTAGTGGGCTATTTCACTCTCGCAGGTATGCGACGCGAAGAGAAAGGATATCGAGACCAGTTTGATAGATAGAAAGAAAAATAAACTTTGGATTTCGACAGATAATACAATGATTAAAACAAAAAGTACAAGATTAAAGCGCGAATGACCTAAGTACAGAAAGAAAGGGAAAAAAAAGAAACGATACTAATGGAAGTCTTACAATTCACGGATGCGGCGAGCTTCATCAGAGTTCATTTTCTCGTTGGTGGTGCAGCGGAGGAGTGCGGGTTTGGTTGTGCCGTTTTGGCGGAACGAGGTTTTGCGTAAAGCTGCAAGACTTCGACGTGGGGTGAAGACCTTGCGTATAGCCGCAAGCCTTCGCCCCCGTGAGTTTGATGATTGCCCTGTCGGTCCCGAGAACGTTTTGTACTTCGTCTTCGTCCCTCGTCTCAGTATCTTTTCTCGTACAAACTGCTCCCTCTTGTCTCTTTCTCTTCTTCAATTTCTCGCTCCCATCTTGTTGACCCCGAAATCACCACAATCACCCTCCACTTGAGAATGTTGTTCAGCTGAAACAACTTCTAGCACGTTTTAAGTCATATTGTTCGCAGTCTATCACAACACAATGCACATTGAAAAACACATCACTTCTGACAGACACAAAAGTACATACATTTACAAAAGTCACTCAATAAGCACCGCCGGGCACACATACAATTCCAAAAATTCAGTAAATTCGTGATATTGTTGCTTTATAAAAAAAAAAAAAATCTTATTCAGCAACAGACATGCGGCTCATGTAATCAGCGCCCAGGTTGTTACTACCCTTAATGTACTCAGCAGTAAGGTCATATTCCATCAGCATTAGGCTCCAACGTAATACGCGACTGTTTACATGCTTTGCAGAATTGATGTAAACGAGTGGCTGATGATCACTTTTGCAGAACGAATGGTCTTCCAAATAAGAACACATGAAACTTCTTAACCGCCCAAGTAATGGCTAGTCCTTCTCGTTCCACTGTCGAGTAGGCAGCTTGACGTGGCAGCAAATCGACGACTTGGGTACGATACGGTGTGAAGAACATCATTATGGCGCTGCGTGAGTACGGCTCCTATACTTCTCGACGAAGCGTCGGTACGCGCAACACGAAAGGTTCTGATAATTCTGGAGCTTTTAAGATGGGCTGACTGGACAGAAGTTCTTTTAGCTTGTCAAACGACGCCTGTTCGCTCTTCCCCCAGTGCACCTTGTTTGGTGCTCTTTTACGTGTCAACTACGTAAGTGGGTGAGATATTTCAGAGTATTGGGGTACGAACTCCCTATAGTAGCCCGTAAGGCCAAGGAAGGATCGCACTTCCTTTTTTGTCTCGGGTCGATTGGTAGCTTGCACTTTCTCCAGGGTCTCGACTTGAGGGCG